GCAGGAAAATGAAAAAAAACCCACCACCTTATTTTTCCACCAGAAAAATAAAATCGTGTAAAACTTGGGAAAATGTCTGCTGGCAATATTACTGCATTAAATTAATTACTTTTGAAGCATCATGCGAGTGCTGGCCTGTAGAATTGGCACTATTTGCCGATGCGGAGTCCCTCGTGTTGCCCTCTGGTATTATGGATGCACTCTGCAGCAGAGTGGAACAATTGTGCTGAATATTTAGACTATATTTTCCATTGCAGACTACTGAGAACTGAATGTCAGATAAGGCAGAAGAAAAAACAAGGAGCGCTGTAATGTCATTTGTAGTTGATGCACATGGACATACGAACACTGCAGATTTTTGTGCATGAGCTGTTGTAAAACAAGATGAATGAATGCTTGGAGTTGGTGGAAATCAGGAGCCATTTGTACACTGCTTTCCTAGGAAGTAGGAAATAAAGCTCGTTAGCTAGCAAGCTACATTTTCTGCATGCCTTTATGCATGCTTAGACCACTGTCTACTTTTATTACAGGCTCATTTACAAAGGAACTGTTGACATTTAACATTCACATTCATATATATGCTGATATAATGCATAAGAGTAATATTTGGGATTTATATTTATAAACAAGATTTATTTCAACATTTAACATAATAGACCATCGTATTGGTGTTTTATATTTTCATCAGTGTTCTACACTGGTGTCATTACGTCCATTTAGTGTACTAGCACACATTTCCTTAATGCAGATAGGGCTCTAGACTGCTCTAGAAATATCTGGCAAAGGTTAATTCCTTTTTAACATGTGATTTCTATTGGTGCGTATCCATATGCATATATGGAGAGATATATATATATGTATCTGTGCACCAGACAATTTTTTGTTTAAGTTTGCCACTGGAATTTCCTATTCTTATCTTTCTGTGTTCTTGAGATGCTTGGCTACTCAAAATTCAGGGTCATACAGGTTGTTTAACCAATGAGAAGAAATTAATAATGGCATTAGAGAACTTTGCCATAATTCGGTTTGTGTACAAGAATTCTGGAGTGCAGGGAGAGCTGTACAACGAGGTATTTGCAAATAGCCCCTAGTGAAGAGCTCAGCGCCTGGGGTCTCCCAGAGCTGCATCCCAGGGCTGCTCAGTGTGCTGCATGTTCCTGCTTGTGTTCATTTCTTTGTTCTTTCTTGCTCCTCTGTAAGAGCTGCCTCCAATCCCATATGGACTTGTTTTCCAGAGCAGTGCCCACTTAAAACCCAGCGCTCCTGGTGCATCCAAATTTGTGAGATGTCTTGCATTTTCTGTTATTTTGAGGGAAAGTGCCCTATCTGAAGTGAGAACTATTTTACACAAGGTTAACTAAAGTTGCAGCTCTAGCTAGAATCAAAGTGATGGTTTCCCAAGCAGGCAAAGAAGAAAATTGCCCCTAACTTGCTGTACTGTAACAGTGGTGTTGACATAAGTCAGTACTTAACATTACTCACATGCAGGGCTTGGGAACAAACAGAAGCAGCAAGTGTGGGTCACGTCACTCAGCGGACTTAGAAGATCACTGTTAATCAGCTGATGTTCCTAACTCTGTATTATCTCCTGCAAGGAAGCATTTTTATTAAATGAAAGCTTGCTTGTATGGCTACTACATTTTGTTCAAAACACTGGGCATTAACGATCCTTAAAAACACTGGTTTCTTTTACTGACATTTTAGAGCTGTGATTTCTGTAGCAATCTCTGCAGTCTGGGCACAGGCGGGAGGCCCTCACAGATTGCCTCTTAAGCTGCAGTTTTTAGCCTGTGGTCCCTTTGAAAGGCTCCGTGTAATGCTCCGAAGGAAAAATGAGCATAATGTCAGTAGAATCGATCATACGGACACATTCCTG